GTTCTTTTTTTAATTGCGATTTGGGTGAAAGTTTACAGAACAAATTCACTTTCCATACAGCAGTTCAAACACATGTTGTCTCGTGACATTGACTACAATTTACCCCAATGCAACAGCTCCCCTCCTACTTCCTCCTGATACTTACCTCTTCCCTGTGTGTGTTCCTCCAGGTACTCCTGCCCCCTGAGCTATCTCCCTGTGCATAAACAGCCCTTCTTTCTCCCATGGTTGTTCTCTCCAAGGAGTGTATCTACCGCAGGTAAATGTTCAACTCATATGCCTGTCTCCTGTTTGGCTGGAAGCCACAGGTGTGGGTTCAATTCCAGACCTGAAGGGCAGCTAGGGGCCATAGTCTCAGTGGTTCCACGAGGTTCTATCGGACCAGCAAACCTGGTCCTCCCCTTTTTTTTCTCCCCAAATGATTTTGAGTTTTGTTCCACGTTGTTCTCCCTCTCTATCCAGAATCTCCTACATAGATGCCCCTCCGAGTGGTTGACAGTAGTAGCCAGGCATTATCTAGTTTTTCTGGTCTCATAATTGTATAGGCTGTGGATCGCATGGTGTACCAGTCGCTAGGACTAACTCTTTCCATGAATCTTTTGTTTTCTTCATTCTTCTTTGCTTTGGAAGAGGAGAGACCCATCATTGCATCTAGATGGCTGCTTGCAAGCTTTTAAGGTCCCAGTCGCTACTCACCAAAGTAGGAGGTGGAACAATGTTTTGTGTAGTATGTTATGCCAATTGAGTTTGATGTCCCCTACAACTATGGTCCTGATCCCACAGGTTCAACTACTCATTCCCTCTGGGTAGTGGCTGTGACCAAGAAGTGACTACAACCTTGTCCCTTGTCAGCTCTGTTATACACCTGGGAATTTAGATCATACAAATACATTTATAGGACCATTGTCTGCCAACCCTATACATGGTCTTGGGTACACTCCTTGCTTCATAGACATACCTAATAGTTCAGCCTGTCCACCCACCTATCCACCCATATACCCATAATTGCCTTCACTGACAACACAGTACTGTATGTGCAAAAGGGTTCATCTTTGTTGTCTGTACCTGTCTGTACCTCCTTATGTCTTTCTCTTCATCACTGCCACCATGCTGATCACTCACATTTGGTACATTGCCCTTCTCTTCACCCAAATCAATACTTCTCTCTATCTAACAGAGTTCCCCTCTCTTCCCCTCCCACCCCTGGTAACCAACAAAGAAAATTTCCTTCCATAGATACACCTTTCCTTGACATTAATGGACTAATACAGTATTTGTCCTTTTGTGAGTGACTTATTTCACTCAGCATAATGTCCTCCAAGTTCATCCACGTTATACAGTGTTTTGCAGATTCTAGGTTATTGTTTAGGGTGGCATAATACTCCACTGTGTGTATGTACCATAGTTTGGTTATCCATTCCTCAGTTGATGGACACCTTGTAAATAGTGCTGCGATGAACATGGGTGTGCGTATGTCTGTTCTTGTCATGGTTCTCACTTCTTTAGGATATATACCTAGTAATGGAATGGCTGGGTCAAGTGGTATTTCTAATTCCAACTTTTGAATGAATCACCATACTACTTCCCACAGGGATTGTATCATTTTAAAGTCCCACCAGCAGTGTACGAGAGTCCCAGTCTCTCCACATCCTTGCCAGCATTTGTTATTTTCTGTCTCGTTGAAATTTGCTACTAGTGCTGGAGCAAGATGGTATCTCATTTTGATTTTCATCTCTCCAGTGGCTAATGATCGTGAGCATTTCTTCATGTTTGTTGGCTGCCTGAATATCCTCCTTGGTGAAGTGTCTATTCATGTCTTCTGCCCATTTTTTAATTGGATTGTCTTTTAGTTATTGAGGTGTTAAGAGTTTTTTGTAAATTCTAGAGATAGGTCCCCTGTCAGGTATGTCATTGCCAAATTTTTCCCAATCTGTAGGTTCTCTTTTGACTCTTCTGGAGAAGTCTATGGAAGTACATAAAAATTTAATCTTTAGAAGGTCCCATTCATCTAGTTTCTCTTCTGCTGTTTGTGCATTTTGGGTTATGCTTGATAGTCTATTTATGCCATATATTAGGACCCCTAAATTTGCCCCTAGTTTTTCCTTGAGGAACTGTATAGTTTTAGGTTTCACATATAAGTCTTTGATCCATCTGGAGTTAGTTTTTGTGTATGGTGTAAGGTACAGATCTTGTTTCATTTTCTGCAAATGGATATCCAGTTTTCCCAGCACCATTTAACAAACAATTCTCTTCCCTATTTAATGGATTTCGGCCCTTTGTCAAAGATCAGCTGGCCATAGGTCGATGGATCTATTTCTGGGTTCTCAATGCTATTCCATTGGTCTATGTATCTGTCATTAAACCAATACCAGGCAGTTTTGACTACTGTGGCTGTATAGTAGGTTTTGAGATCTGGCAGTGTGAGACCTCCTACTTTGTTCTTCTTCAGTAGTGCTTTGCTTACCTGAGGTCTCTTTCCTTTACATATAAACTTAGTGATTAGGTTTTCCATATCCTTAAAAAATGTTGATGGGATCTGGATTGGGATTGCATTGAATGTATAGATTGCTTTGGATAGAGCTGACATTTTCACATTGTTCAATCTTCTATCCACGAGCATGTTGTGTTTTTACATTTATGTAGATCTCTTATGGTTTCTTGAAGTAATTTTTTTATAGTTTTCTTTGTAGAGGTCTTGTGTGTCCCTGGTAAGATTTATTCCCAAGTATTTTATTTTTTTTTGGTAGCTATTGTAAACGGTATTGATTTCCTTATTCCTTCTTCAGCAATCTCTTTGAGGAATACAGCTGTTTTTGGATGTTGATCCAATGCCACAATGCTGTATCTCTCAATTAGGTCCAGTAGATTTTTGACTGAGTCTCTTGGGTTTTCTAGGTATAGGTTCATGTAATCAGCAAATAGGGATAGTATGACTTCTTCCTTACCCTTTCTTGCCTAATGGCCACCAGGGCTTTTTTTGTAAGGTTTTTTGTTTTTTTTTTTTTAATGACCTGCTCAGTTTACTTTAAGGGTCTGTTCAAATTTTCTTCCTCAGTCTGTGCTAGTTTAGATAGGTCTTGTTTCTAGAAATTTGTCCATTTCTTCTAGGTCTACTTTTGTACTCTTGATACATTTGAGCAGACAGATTTTTGTTCTCAACTTTTTATTGAAGTAAAATATGCACAAAGGAATAAAAGGTAAGTGTACATAGACCAAGGCATTTTCATGAAGTTAGCACACTCAGATTAAGGATGAACTTTGTTCAAGGCCCCAGCAACACCCCCTTCCCCACTCCCTCCCAGTCACTGATACCCCAAAAGTAGTGACTTCCAATTGCATATGTTAGTTTTGCCTGTTTTATACCTTATTATAATAAAGCCTGGGAGCTCTGGTGGCGTAGTGCCTAAGGCATTTGACTGCTAACCAGAAGGCTGGCAATTCAAACCCACCAGCCACTCCCCGGAAGGAACGTTGGACAATCTACTTCTGTAGTGATACCACCTCAGGAACCCAAGGAGGGGTCACTGTGACTCGGATCCAATGACACAGCAGTGAGTTTGGTGTATTTTTTTGGTATATAAAGCCTAATAATCATCATATACTGTGTGTAGCTTCTTTACTCAGTATTACATTTGTGAAATATATCTATATTGTTGCATATTGTTACACTGTGGGTCCTTATTGCTGTATAGTATTCCATTATATGGATACACTGTAATTTATTTATCCTTTGTACTACTAAATGTAGGAGCTCTGGTAGCGTAGTGCCTAAGGCACTTGACTGCTAACCAGACGGCTGGCGGTTCAAACCCACCAGCCACTCCTCGGAAGGTTGGGCAATCCTACTTCCGTAGTGATACTGCCTCGAAAACCCAAGGAGGGGTCGCTATGAGTCGGGGCCAACTCGACGGCACATAACAACAACAACAACAACATTACATTACTTTGCTTAACACATGCGTGTACTTCACTCAGGAATATCCAAATTCTCCCTGCAACAACTCAGAGTTCCAGTTGTTCCATATCCTCACTACTTCTCATTTTCCATCTTTTTCATTTTAGCCATTCTAGTGGGTGTACAGTGGTATGTGATTATCTTTTTAAAAAACTTAACATTGCCTTCTCCTTAAGATTCTTCCCAATGACTTTATACTCAAGGTAATCCTTTACGTGGCCTATGCACCTCGGTTATCTGGCTCCCAGCTCAGCTCCATCTGCATCTGACTGCTTCCTTCCACTCTGGACCCCTTATGCTAGCCTTCTTCCTACACCTGGTACTAGCCATTCTTTTGACACAGGGCCTTGCACACAGCACTCTTAATTCTTTTATCATTAGTCATCAAATTCTCAGGTCACATCCCACTGTAATAGGTTCTCAGAGCTTTTATAGTTTGATTAATGAACGCTATTTCATCTTTAGCCCTTCAGCTCCCAGTACATAACGTGCCTGTTTTACTCACATTGCACATGCAAGACCTGGCACAGAGTTGGGACTCATGTATTTGAAGGAACAAATTAAATAACTGAGACAAATCATTATATTGGATGCAGTTTTTTTTTTTTTTTGGCTTTTAAGAAATTTTATGGAGGAGTGAGAATTACAGTTTATAATATGCATTGGGATAAATTTTCAGGCCTGAAACTATTTATGTCGAATTACACTACTTAAGGTCTAATGGATTGAAACCTTTAAAGACACTCAGTATGTCTCTCAGTCACAGCCGTCTTCACCGTTTTTTGCATGAACAAAGATCATTAGACTGACTTCTGGTCTCAATTTAAGTGGAGAAATGGGTGAGGGTTTAATGGTTAAACTTCCCTTGAAATTTTGATTTCCATCTTTACACAGTCAGGTAAGAGAAACTTCTGGCCAGTTGCAGGCTTTGTGTTTAATTCTCCTACAAGCAGCTATCGTGGTGACATTTCACAGCTTCCTTGCCTTTCCAAGGCAAGTCTGAGAGTGAGAGGGTCCTGGGACCATCAGCTTCATTTTGTTGCAGAGCCTGTCCCACTGTGAGCTCATCACAGATGATGGGATCCTACACCTGAGCAACAGCACCTGTGGTCACGAGAGACTGCGGGTGCTGGAACTGGACAACTGCCTCCTCATCACTGATGTGGCCCTGGAACATCTAGAGAACTGCCGTGGCCTGGAGCGCCTTGAGCTCTATGACTGCCAGCAGATTACCCGAGCCGGCATCAAGAGGATGCGGGTAGGTAGGAGACAGGGGAGTTGGTCACACCTGGCATAGGTGAATACATCAACAGTCAACATTCGAAATTTATGTTCTGCCTTAAACCAGAAGGAGCTCTGGTGGTTAAAGTACTCCAAAAGTAACCAAAAGGTCAGCAGTTTGAAACCACTAAGCTGTCTGTGAGAAAGATGTGACAGTCTGCTTCCCTAAAGAGTTAAACCCTTGGAAACCCTATGGAACAGTCCTACTCTGTCCTAGAGGGTTGATGTGAATCACAACTTGATGGCAGTAGGTTTGGTTTCTTGGCTATATGCAAACTGATCTGACTCCACAGGAAGTCACTTTAGACTGACTCAAACTTCTTGTGCTTAGAACTCACCCTTGAAGATTCAGCTCTAGCATGCCTGGGGCAGAGGGCCCATATAATCTGGTGCCCTTTATAAGGCCTATACTAAAGGAAAGTGAAGGAGCTGTGGTGGCCTACTGCCTAAGGCTACTGCTAACCAGAAGCTTGGCAGTTCAAACCCACCAGCCACTCTGCAGAAAGATTGGGCAATCTACTTCTGTAAAGATTTACCACCACCAAAACCAAAAGGGGTCTCTGTGAGTCAGAATCGACTCGATGGCAGTTGAGTTTGGTTTTTGTTTGTTTGTTTAAAAGAAGGTGACTTATGGTTATTACCAATATAAAGTAGAACATGGTTTTGGCTAATTTCCAGGCTAAGAAGGCTCATCAGATTTTGATTTTCCTTCCCCATGTAGTTTATCTACAAGTTCTTAATCATCCTTTTAAGTTCAGACAACTGTGCGTGTATACCTCAAAGCACCTTCATCCAGGATGCTAGAGCTGTCTAAAACTTCACTCAGTTTGTACAAAGGGCCAGTGACTACATATGGGCAGGTATCTATTCTTCTCTAGGATTATGACTATAATCCTACAAACAGCAAAGTCTCAGGACTGTTCCACATTTTCCTTCTTTCTACTTCCAGGCTCAGCTCCCTCATGTCAAAGTTCATGCCTACTTTGCTCCTGTCACCCCACCAACAGCAGTGGGAGGGGGTGGACGGCGACTGTGCAGATGCTGTGTTGTCCTCTGACAACAGTGGCCCCTCCCCAAAGGCTTGGTGTGGTGTCCTTCTGAGTCTTCCTGACCTCCTCCACTTCCAACCAGATCTGTTGATTGTCCATTGGGAAAGGCTTTCACAGGTAAAAGACTTCTGTATGGCTTTCAGTAACTCTGGTGATAGTTTTCACCTTTATCCTGCTGTAATGCAATCAAGTCAATGCTTTGTGTTAGTTAACATGTGACCAGAGCAGTCTCAATGCAGCCAGGACCGCATGAGAAGCCTTGGATCTCCTAAGAGATAGGTGCCTGTCTAGTTACAAAGTCACCCTTGGCTGCATCAGCATTCCTCACAACAGATCATCAGTGTTTAGCACAAATTGAGCAGGAAAAAAAGCTGCTACCTGCTATTTAAGAAGCCAGTGGCCTACTTTAATTTACAATTCCATTTTGATTAGCAGCATTTTTCCACTCTGAAGACTAAATTGCAACTTATCAAACTGACTGTCCTGCAAATTCCTAATGCCTGATGCATTCTAAAATGTAGAGACTCATGTTCATTCGTTTCCATGAGACAGCAAAGAAATGAGGCTACAAAAAGGGCGAAGCAGGGTCTTCACCCATCTGCTTCTGTCAACTTGTTAAAGACACCTCTGGGTACCAACAACTAAAACAAAAGCAACCCAGAGTCTGTGTTGCCTGATTGGAAATTATAAGCTCTGGTATATGCTATACAACATAATGCATTTCTGTTCAAGGAAGGAAGCTAATCATGTCTACGTTTCTCACAGTTTGAGGGACCTTAAAGAAACAGAACTGATGAAGATTGAAGTCTACTCATATAACCAAATGAAAATAATGGATGCATGTAGAATGGGTGTGTTTTTTTTCCCCACAAGTTTATTTAAAATCTTAGAAATCAAGTTACACCAGACTTACTCAAAAGTTTTACACTTCAAACTCAGATCATAAAAGTATTGGCACCTTTGATTCAGAAAAATGACTAAACCACTGCAATGTTAAGAAAAATTAACTGAGAGGGTTTTATTGCTATAATCTTAAGATAGACAAATCTGAGCAAAAGCATTTTTGAAATTCAAACCTTCCTAATGTTAAGCTGAAATCTGGTATGCCCCATTTTCTGCTGGGGCTGCTTCCAGCTCTGTGCTGTTCACATTTGTGATCTTTGTTAAAGATGAGGAACTCAAAACCACCTTGGTAGTGAACTTACATGTTAATCGTAGCTAACTTGCAGCCACTTCCCCCAAAGTGAAGAGCTCACAGGAAGCTGAAATGAAATGGCAAAAACCGAGAGAAATTTTTCCATGACTAGCACTTCCATCAGAAAAGCATTTTTACAAGCTTTTTTTAAAGGTAGACTACCTTAGTGCATTCTACGAGGAGAAAGCAGATACATATATCATCAGTTCAGCAGGATTGTCAGAATATGGACTCCTGTCCTGATGACTGTATTGCCTTATGACCTACTCCAGCATTCCCTGGTCTGTACTGTGTGCATTTGACAACAGTTAAATATGCATTCACACCACTGTGTAGGAAAGAAATGACTGATGAAAGAAATAAATGAATACATAACACAGATTTGCTTCAGTGATTATGAATTAGTCTCTACTTTAACAAGTAATTTAAGTGATCAATGCCTTCTGTACCTTCTCTTTTTAGAGCTAGGACACACCTAACTGTTACAGCTACTGGACTCAATGTTCAATGACTCATGACAACCTGTATAAAATAGGAAAACCTCTTGTAAGTAACAGGTTTGCTTCCTCTGAGTGTGGTAGACCAGCTACTGAAATAGCCTGTCCTCGATTGCATCAGCTTTCTGTGAACAAGCGAAAAGAAAAGCAAAATAAAACATGCAGGTGTGACCTCTTCCAACATTTGGATTGGCGTCTCCTCACAATACACTTGAACATTGAATCAAGTCCGTGGTTCTGTGATTTGCACAGGACCTGAAGTGACACTGCAGGCATGGCAGAAACTTGGATTTTAAATGAGACACACATTTGCAAAAGAATTGGAAAACATTTATTATATCGAAATGTATACATCCTATTTAAAAAAAAGTAGTAAATTTGCTGGTGCCATAATTTAACCTGTTTCACTGGGACAGACATGTTCAATACTGCTCAGAACATTTTCGAGTTTGATTAATGAACTTTTAATTATTTTTAATCCACTTCTAAAACCTGATGAGAAATTAAAAATAGCACACAGCATTAAATGGCATTTGTTCTATAAATCTTGAGACCCAGAAAGGAATGCTAAAGAGAGAAGCAAAACTCTGAAAATAAGAAATTCACTTCTTTCCCAAGTGACTGGTACAAAAAAAGAGGCCATACTAAAGCAAAGGGAAGATGAGGGAAAGGAAAGCTCTTACTTCAGTAGGGTCTCCAGGAGTTCTGAATCTTTTCAAGCTGAAGATGGAAATATGCTGACACAGTGCTGCTTTGTTTTAAATAATTAACCCACTTCATGACAATGCTTTTATAACCACTGTTATTTTGTCAGAGAGATTTCAAACTCAAAGTTACTCATTATCCTCTGAACAAAGATGAAGATCAAATAGTACACTCAAAGCCAAAACACCTGGGCAAACAGACAGATCTGTAATAGAATGTAAGGGTTTCTTAAAAATCAAGTGTGCTACATACACCATAGGCCTCAAAAATGCTTCATAAATTTCTGGAAGGTTTTGGGTGATGGTGGAGATAAGTGAGAAAATAGTGGAGTCCCTTTGAAAAGTAGACCAGCAGGCAAGCATTTATTTAGTTTTGTGAAAGTGGCACTCTTTTTATAGAGTAAGCAGGTATCATGTGGTGTATAAACAACGGAATCTTCATCCATGATTGTACTGAAGCCCAATATCTGAGGAGTATAAAGGTTTTTAGTGTTTGATTTATGATGATTAGTGTTTAAATTCGTGTTGTTGATAACAAAGCCTCCTTAACACCAAGTCAGAAGCTATCAGCAATAGTTTTCCCTTGCGGGTCACCTATTTTCAATGTCTGGGGTAGAGATTTAAAATGAAAAGTCAGAAACTAAAATGCTAAAAATGGAAGCAGAAGCAAGCTTTTTGACAAAACCGTGACAAAGCAGAAACACAAGTCTGTACCTATTAGGATTTATACTGATCCTCCCACCAAGGTACTCCTGATAATGCAGTTTGCCACAAGCCCATCTTTCTGGCTTGATCCCATCAGACACACACCCTTACTCTGAGAAGGTGCAGAACCTCACCTGACAATCTTTCTACAGACAGATTCCATTCTGGCTCCACACAGCACTGCCCCCCCCCCCAGGTCAGCATAAGGTCCAGGCAGTAACAGCCAAACTGGCACAGAAAGGTAAATGCCCACAGTTAAGTTTTTACATTCATTTCCAAACCGCATACAGTGTAAAAAGAAGCAAAGACTTCTTCTAGGAACTTTATCTACCAGCCTCTGCCAGAAAAAGCAGGCAGCTCTGTCCGCACCAAGGCCTCCAAGTCGGATGCACGCTGTCCACCGGGCTCACTCTCATGAGGACGCTTGGCTATGGCAGTGAGGAGAGTCGCCTCTCGTACAGCTCACTTGAAGGTCATCTTGTGTTTTCAATATGAAACATTTTATGTGGTAAAATCCAATCCCAACACTTCTTGGATTCGGTCTTCACACACTTTAGTAAGCGTGACTTTATTTGGTACTGAATATAGTTCAGTCTACATAGGACATCACTTCAGAATTATGAGAATACCATCACTATTTTCCACTGTAGAAAAAGTGAAAGGGAAGTTTAACACAATTTTTTTTTTTTACCCATGCTTAAGAAAATCAAGACTATTAAAATTGAATACTGAAATCTACCACCTCTCCTGTAAGTCAGAAGTAACTTTTAAAAATTCTATAAAGAGCTGATTGCTCCTCTTTCCTACAGGCAACTTCATGTAGACTTCCCCTTTTTAAAACATTTTTTTGATGTCTGGCCCCATGTTGCTTGCCCATTCTGTGGAATGGACGCAGTTATCAAGATAAGCAGCAAACACACTGATCATGAAGAAAGTAAGTGCTAGAGGCACAGCTGAAGAAAATACGACCTTAAGGCAGAGGATGGTTAATGCTAGGAATGTGGATGCAGTCATCTTTTCTGGAAAATTTTTTGGAAAGCCTCAAAGGTTGATCCCAAACATTTTACAAAGTGCATGCCCAGTTTTGCACAGTGAAAACTTTTGAGGAGAATGGCACTTGGGTAAAGCTGGTTCTCTTTCAGTTAAACTCTGGGCTACTCCTTTTTAAAAGAACTGCCAGGATTATTTTGTGTTAAAACTGGATTTGGACCTAAACCCACCTGACTTTGTAAACAGCTGCTGATGTACAGTCTGGTATTAAATAACTAATCATGCATTTAAAAATCCCTCTTGTAACCCCCGTTTCCTCACCCCTGAAAAACAAATGGCCTAGATGATACCCTGTCTGCCACTGCTGACCATTCTGAAAGGGATCACAAGAGGTCCTGAATAAAGTGAGAGAAAAGTGTGGAACAAAATTTAAAAGACCAGGTTTCACTGAGCTGATAGACTTGTGGAACCCCTGAAACTGGCAGTCAGACACCTTTTAAGCCTAGACCTGAACTTACTTCCATAGCTCAGCTTTCAGCCAAAGGCAAGGCCTACAGTGTAAACAGTAAACCTCTTACAGCAATCAACCCCACATGATCAAAAGGGCACACAGCCCAGGAATACAGCTCAGAAGGCAGAAAGGGATGGGAAACAGGAGGAGGAAGTAGAAAGAGTGCTGTTAAAATGTGGAGACTGTAATCAGAGTCACAAAATGTATATGAATTGTTGAGCAGAAAACCAGTTTGCTCTGTAAATTACTATGAAAGTTTTTTTTATTAAAAAATAGGGACTACCTTTTTGCTCTCACCCAAAAAAACAGGGTCACAGCCTCTCTCAAACGTGGAGCCCAGCAGGACCTTGTCTGTAAATCTATGGGCCATTGACACCTCCAGTATGCTTTTCTCATTTGTCTCCACAGAGTAGCCAGAGTAAAAGAGAAACCTGATCATATTGCTCTGTTCACATGACTTCACAGACTTCCAAGCAGAATCCAAACTACCATTAGCACCAGGTCCTGCATATTAAGAGCCCATGCCGCAGCCTCTGCCCACACTGCAGGGCAGCTATCTTCAGGCCTTAAAGAAACCAACTTCTTCCCCTTGCACACTGCCTTGAAAGGCTGCTCCTCCCTAATTCTCAGCATCCAGGACACCACCTCAGAGAAGCCTTTCCTGATAACTTCATAGCCTCCTTTGGATCCCTCATAGGCACCCCCCAGTGTCACATTCCTTCACCTTCATGGCACTCAAGATATTATGTGTACCTGGTAGCCAATTTTGGTTTGATTTTTCCCTTAGGGTAGGAGTTCCATCATCTGAGGAACAATTCCTAGTTTGTTCGAGATCTAACTACCTCTGAAAGCATGGTGTCTGACACAAGATGCTCAGTAACATGTTGGCCGAATGAAAGGTGACTTCTTGCAGTCATCTAGAAGGATTGGCTCTTCTTCCCTGTTGGTTAGTTAATGTCTATCACTAGAAATACTGTCTAGGTTCATTTTTTAAACTCTTTTCTTTAAAATTAGTAAAGCTAGCCTTTTCAAAAGTAAACACACAAGAGGACTGATAACAGACACATATTGCCTTTCAGATTCCAGCCCTGTAAGAGTCATGCACACATGCAAGTACCTTTTACTGTGGAGAATAAAAAACAACTCTCATCTTGAAAGTTCTGAACCATCTGGAAAGATAAAGCAGATAATAATTAAAATTCAGTTGTGCTTTCTTAATTTATTAGAAAAAGATTCAAATTAATAAAGGGTAATGTATGAATGGCATGTGAGATAGTGAAAATGCAAACCCACTTCCCAGCCGGGCAGCATATACCTGCCCGTGATAGAGAGCTGCTCTATGGTCTGTGTGCCCACCCCCTCCCCGGAGAGCATTCCCTGTGGGTCATCACCCTCTAACAAAGTCATTTAGTAACCGTACTCTTCCATTACTACTTGTCATTAAACATTACAAAGGAAAACTGTAGTTCTCATCTTTTGTGTGCTTTAGTTAAGTAAAAGAACAAATCTCAATGCCTCTCAACATAAACAGGGCCAAAGCCTGGTAAAACCCCCAATGAGTGTCTCTATTCGAATGTGGGGTTGGGGGAACCAGTTTTCTTTGACTTATATTCCTCATATATCACTAGGATGCTTGTAACTCTTGGTTACAAACTCTTAACAATTTTGATCCTTAACTCTTAAAAAGGATTTTTGTGTGTTTAAAGTTCACAGGATTTTTCTATAGTTCTTAAAATATGTATCAGTACATAATTGGTGTCAATACCAGGGAAAAGCAGATGGACATTCTCTATTTACCTGATCACTAACAAGAATGTGAATACCAGTGGGACCCTGTCTGTAAACATGGTTAATTTGGTGCAAAGGAATATTAAACACCAACGCAAGTTTTCGAGCAACTTCTGAAGCAACCATTTCTTCCAAGTAGATTGCATGATAAACTGAAATAAAAAATAAGAACAGCACTTCAATTTGTTTACACCTGATCTATTAGATCATGTCTTTCAAAAAGAAGTAAAAAATGAAAGTAACATTTTCTCCTCTTATTATACTCAAATTCCCCAAATCTCCATCTGAAATATGAGAATAGACTGAGTATCTATGCTCACAGATAATTTAACAAACATTAACAGCAATCTCTGTAGTAAACGATTTGCAGTTTTTAATTTTCTTTAAATTCTCCTGCAATGAATATGGAATTTCATACATTCAAAGTTCAAAATCAGACAGATTGACTGTAAACTGGCATGGGGTTCTTCCTAGAAGGAACAGAACTAAAACAAGATTGTGACAATGATTGCAAAACTCTGGGAGGATTTTATGTCCGTTATCCCAGAAGAAAGCTATTTGCAAACATGGTGTATCTATCTTTCCAGCAACATATAAAAATAAACCTAAAAGAGACATAGCTGTTGATTCAGTCATCCCACTACTGAGAATTTATCCAAAGAAGTAAAAGTTATCATCTATACAGTTCCTCCAAAGAAATTTAAAAACAAATATAAAAGATATAGAAAGACTAACAATTGTATCCTTAAAAATTCAAAATGTGAATTTTGAATGAGCTAGAAACATTTCCAAGTAGAAAGCTCAAAATAGTTATACTTTCCTTACAAACTGTCAGTAGAACTCAAATCACAAGGTATTTTTAACACCTCTGCCCATTATCAGAGCAAGCAGCTGCCTTTTTGAGTTCTGCAAAATATCCTTCCCTGAAGAGTTCCAAGCATTTGCCCTCATCCTATTTATTTCAGAATGTAGCCACCTCACAAGTGAGTGTGAGATTACTTATCTCTGCCCCCATCCAGTGCTGTGTTACATGATTATTAAGGAACACCCTCAGGATGAGATGCTCCCCCACATAGAGTAGATGTCCAGTGACATCAAAGTAAGCCCCAGGCTTTCCACACACAAGGCTTACTTACTGTGCTGCCCTGGCTCAGGACACATGTAGTGATCTTCCACACACTTAGTGCTGTTACACAGATGCACTTTTGTACATATGTGCTATTTTAAGACTTCTGTGTTCCTCAATCAGTAAAATAGGGGGAAAGAACCACCTTCATACTTTGTCAAGCTGTCGATGTCAGATTCATCATTTCAGTTAATCTGATTTAAAAAAAAAAAACCAGGGCAAACCCTAAAATACTCAAGCAAGCCTTTCGCTTTTTCTGGCATAAAGGCCATGTTATATATGAGAGATGCATGTTGTGGCTGAAATCAGAGGAAGGCTGTAGTTCTCTTTTTCTCCTGAGATCTTATCCCTAGAACTGCTTCCTCACTGCTGTCAAGAAACTCCTGCAGCAACAACTGGGCAAGTCCTACCCAGACATCAGTCTTCAAAGCCCTGCTCAGCCTTTCCCATTTCTGCCTCACAGTCTCAAAAATGGAGTGACAGGGAGTTAAGACGCCCTCAATACCCACCATAAGATGTACCACTGCCATTCTCGCCTCCACTGCCTGCAGCCTGCTGTTGCTCCTGGCAGACGTAGATGGTTAAACGGGGCCTCACCGACCTGCAATCAGAAGATGCCATTCATGAGCCTAGAAGAGAAAGCAGTTTCATGGCAGGTACAAACAACGAACTACAGGAATTTAAGTTCTAATTCCTCATGAGAACTTTACAGTTATTTCATTATACAAAATAATTTACTAATTTAAAAAACCACACACCTCACACCACCTATCATAGGGTGGTCGAATCTGATGATCCAGACTCTAAACCACTGAAGTGGTCTGTCAGATGCTGGTAAATTTAAGTTTCAAGATTAAGTCAGTAATTTAAAATTAGTTAAGATTCAATTTTAATTGAACTGATACTATGTCTACAAATAGCAATGATAGTAAATGGATCTTAAAGCCAGCACAGTTTACGGTTCTATCATTTTAATCCACAATTAATAGTTCACATTTTTAATAACTGCGTAAGTAGCCACGTCCTTGAAAACTATAGATTCTGTATAGCTCACCTAAATGAGAAGTTCGTTTTCTTGGCAACAAACCCAGTCATCTTCAAGAAATTAGTACTGCCCATATGCATTTCTACCAGACTTACAGTCTACCGCTGACCTCATCAGTGCCTACATCGTATCTAGGCCTGCCCTGAACGTGTGCACAAAACAGTCTTCTTAGGAGCACAGTGCTTCCAGTGCTCAACAGCGCATGTAGGCACACGCCAACCATGTGTGCAAAGACATTCTGCCCAAATTCCCCACACGAAGAAAGGTACATTCTTATTTCAAGCAAAACAATTCCTTTTCAACACAGTATTTTACCTTGACTTCAGTGAATTATAGAGCCGAATTCCATCAGCTGTACCACAAATTTGTACTAAATCCTCCTTTGTCAGTTTTAGTAAGTCGGCACCTAGAAAACAGCAAAACAGGATTTTCTCAAAGAAATGAAAGACCTAGCAGAATTAGCGGTTTAAATAGGCCTCTGTATTTATACAAGTCAATCAAATGTCCTTCAAAACCATCTCAGGCATCCTGAATATACATATATACATGGACAACACAAGAACACACACACACACACACACACAGCCAAAGAGAATGTCCTACATCAGAAAGGAGCTTAGAGCAGAGGATCGTAGATGGAGTCAACAAGCAGGGCCTATATGACTGTGTTCCTAACATAAGATTTCAATGCCTATCTTATGTTATGGCTGTAAGGCTAAACACGATTGAGACCCCAGATAATTAAACTTGGATATTACCCCAACCAGTCAGTACTTTGTTTTATCTAAATGAATCAGAAGTTCAGAATTTCGGAGACTTGCACAAAGTCACACAACTATAGTTGGTAGAGCTAGGACTAGGAACTTTATACTCTAAAATGCAATTAAACATAATGCTAATCACACAGCCAGTTTGAATATGAAAGGATGGCAGAGAATTTACACATTATACTGTAAAGATTTTGTCCATGAGTGTAAATGACATGGTATTCTAAAATTTGCTTTAGAATAGAACAGAAAGGGGGCGGGGAGCGGAGGGAGAATGAGACTGACCAAAGACTGGTGTTTTTGAAGCTGAGGGTGCTTACGAGGGAAATCATCATACTCTTCCATGTTTTATGTTAATCTTTTGTTCTGTCCTCATATTTTTATGATGCAGTTTATTAGGAAAACTAAGATGCCCTCTGAGGTTAAGGCATGAGCGCCATATGATAAGTATCATCTTCATATGTAACAAGATAATGGGTTTCTCTTTCTGTTTTAAGGGCTCAAATATGAAAGCCTAATAACTTTGTAGTTTATAAAAGGAAGACAAGACCAGGCTCTTTATGGGAGAACCCCTGAGACTATGCCCCTTAAGATACCCTTCAGCCCTGGAACTGCACTCACCCTCATTGCTCAACTTTCAGCCAAATGATAGGTCTATAACGTGAACAGTTACAGCTGGGATGTATATACTCTTTAGACCAGTCAATCACATGAGATCAAGAGGGCAACATCTGCCCACGAATGAAACCCATAAGGCAGGAAGGGACAGGAAAGAAAGACAAATGGAAACAGTAAATACAGGGAGGAGGGAAGGGGGAAGAATGCTCTACATTGAGGGGACTGAAATCAGTGTTACAAAACAAGATATGTATGAAATGTTGACTGGAAAATCAATTTATTTTAACCCAAATCTCCAGTTTACAAAAATAACAAAATAAGAGAAGCACATCCCCCACGACACAAACACTGATGAAGTCAGGTTAGCAGAGAGAGGCTTTCTCTCACTTCTCTACCAGGGCTCACTACATGTATGCTGAAGATGTGGGTGCTACAGCCTAAACCCACACACACTGTGGATGGACACCTGTGAGCACAGCTCTTCCGGAAATAAGAGTGCCTGTGAGGATTGGAGCAAGAATCCTCCCTCACCTTTCCACTGTCAGTGTATCTCCAGGGATGTGACAAACCCAGAGGAAGTTTACAGGGTATGTGAAAAGGACAGGATCACTGAGATCACTGCGCACAGTGCAAACACCTCAGCACTGTCCTAGGCAGAGACAGACGTTCAACCTGTGATGACAACTAGAGTGAACCTGGAGTCACCCTCAATTCCAGCTGTTGGGCAGAATTTTCTGTGTGCTATGCAAAATCTGCCCTTCCTGTGAGGGTTCAAACACACATTCCCCCACTGAAATTTTACAGATTCTAGTTTTTCACAAATAAAAGGTTTTTACTTAGTCATGTAAAAAATTGTATCTGAGGCTTTCACTGTAATCCTGCACAAACATGGCAATAAATGGCTTGATGGTAGTTGGTTTGTTTTTTATGTTTTAACCTCATGGAGACAAACTCAGTGATAGGTACATAGGGCTTCTCTGTACTATCTTTGCAACTTCCTACAAAACTATAGTTAATATAATGGAAAAGAAAATAGCATAGAACCATGCACATACACACAGAAATGAGTAGATCTAAACCTGGTAGGATCTGCATTGTACCAAAATTTCCTAGCCTTGACAAGGTACTATAGAGATGCAAGGGATTATCACTGGGGAAACCTGGGTAATGGGTACACAGGACCTCCATTTTTGCGCAAGTTCTTGTCAATCTATATTTTGTGGTACAAAGAAAAAAAATTCTTAAGGTTAGGAAAAGCATAGAAACAAAGCAAAGAAAATGCATATTCACACAAACATACCTGAAAAATTGGAAAACAGTCTTGTATAGGAAGAAAATCGGTTTTTCAGCAGCCACTGCTGTGTTTCCTGGATTGTGGCTGAAGGCTGAAGTTGCTAGTAATAAAAAGAAAACAAAACATGAATATAAATAGAAGAAACTATTCAAACTGAAAAAAATAACCCTTGTCTCTGGAATATTATAAAAAGAACAGGCAAACAAAATATAGAGATCCTGTAGTTCTAAAGTGATATGAACACCTAAGAGCATGACCCTGAGTGCCAGGTGACCCAGTGAAAAGGACCTTGAGAGCAGCTGAGAGGTTAAGAAAAAAAATACTTACTTCACCAGAGACCTGTGAAACTCCATCTCCCTGATGATTTGGGGAAGAAGAATTGCTGGGAGAAGAGAAAAGAAAGAATGGTTTTCATCATTTGTTTTATTAAAAAATCAATACATTAAAGGCTAGTCAACTAGGTAAACTGAATGTAAGACATTGCTATGGGACAGACCAATGTGTCTGCAACAAAGCAATAATGACTGTGTGGTCAAGGTCAATATGGTGATGAGCTAAAGCACCGGAGAGACTCTATCTTACTCTGTGCATCCTTTCTCCATCAGTCCTAGTAAGAAATTCAAGTTTTGTAAAGCAAAAGAGCTCATCTAATTATCTCCAGGGGTGCCAAAACAATGAAAGAATACTCAATTTTAGTTGGGAAAAAAATACGAGAAATAATGGTTAAAAAAACTAACAGTGAACTACAAGACAATAAAAAGTTAAAAGTTAAAGCTTAAAAAAAAAAAGGGACAAGAGTAATAATGATCCTAAACTAAAATACAAAATAGTTATCCCTTTTAACTAATACATACAACATCCATGATTAAAGAGAGTGAAATTTCAGAGGAAAAAAAGACTAATCTGTACCACTATCCTTGTGTTTCTAAAGGGAGAATGAAAAACAACTCCACAGGCAATGTGGCCACCTTCTTGGCTACTGAGCTCTACCCCCTATCTTAGCTCCTGTGCCTCCACTGTTGTTGTTATGTGCCGTCAAGCCGGACCCGACTCATAGCAACCCCTCCATGAGTTTCCAAGGCAGTATCACTACGGAAGTAGATTGCCCTATCTTCCTTCTGAGGAGTGGCTGGTGGGTTTGAACCGCCAGCCTTCTGGTTAGCAGTCAAGTGCCTTATGTACTATGCTACCAGAGCTCCTTAGGTTTATTACCCATATGACTCTCATAAATGTTGTTTTTACCTCACAAAGAATATATATGCTGGCTCTATCTTCAGAATGCCTCCATTTTTACAACTACCACAGTTGTGACTGTGCAAGGCAGTGGGGGTAGGAGCAAAAAGGCTAGCAGGCAAAGGCAAGACAGTGATTCTCCTCTGACACTAAGGTACAGGGTGTCTCCCAGTGCTAGTACCAAAAAGAAGCTGCTATAAATGGAGAGAAAGGGAAATAATGGCCCATGAGTATCAATCAGCCTTGTCCACACAATTCCACAAACCAGATACCTGTCGGGGACACTGCAGGTGCTCTGTGGGGGGGAGGTGAAAGTGGGTGCTGCGGAAGGACTGTTATTCACATAGGCTGTGGGGGTATCGGGCCACGGAGAACACTAAGGACAGAAACAAAAAGAAATTAATGAACTGCTTTTAAAGTATGTGGAAGAAATATCTGTTATTCACTCTCTAGTCTGGCCAAATGCAAGATTATAAAAAGCAAGATACTCGACACTCATCAAGCAACCTCACAGAAACATCAAATTTACAGCTAGATACTGAATCATCTTATAAAAGACCTGAAGTGGTAACAGCAGCAAAAATTTATAAAGGCATTTTAAATGTATACTTTAATACAATTTGCTTTCAAAAACTTTCACCTCCCTCAGTACCGAAACCTTAGGTAAATCTCAGTTCCCCTATCAAGGTTTAAGAATAGCAGAGACAAGAAAGGATCGATAAGCAATGCCTGACAGACAGCGGCTCTGCCCTATCTATGTCCCCTTCTCAACAATCTGCCCTCTTCCCCCAAAGAGCAGCCTCACAGGCCAATGTTCACCATCATTTCCTTTCTGAAAGTAGTAATCTCCAAGATTAGAGAGGCCCAGGATAGAACTATGCCAACTGTGTAAGACACTGCTGCTACCTACCTATATTTGCTAGAAGGGGGTGCAGTGAACTGAAATATTTTCCATTTCAAGGCAAAATTCCAACCAACCATACAGCAAACGCACACTATTAGGAGAGCTGAAAGAGCCGAAGTCCAAACAAAAAGCATGCTGAGGAAGCCAAAGTGGTCTCAAGGAGCTATCTTTAAACCAAGGTATACAGGGACTCCATACACGCCACAAGCACTCTTCTAAAACTATTCTGCCTAAGTTCCCAGGATCCCTTTCATAATCACCCTTCTCCCATTTTACACAAGAAAAGCATGTCATCTCATTCAGACCCTCTCTCAGAAGCCAAGCAGAAGACCACCAAAAGATATTAGGATACTGAAAAAGTACATGACCCTAATGATGAGAAAACGTTTTCTATAAGTCAGATGGTTTTCAATTCTTTTGCTTTCAACGAAATTCAAGGAGGATCTAACTGAGCTGTCAGCTAGTATATAAATAATCTACTAGACCATTTAAAAAAAAAAAAACTGGGATTTTCGCAGATAACTGAAAAGGAGTTCAAAAATGTGATTAATACTACTGAAAGAACTTTTTCCCATCTACTTATTTATAAGAACGGGGGTTTTCACATCTACTCAGAAGAAACGAGGAACTGATGCTCTATGATGTCTCTTTCCAGTACATTTCCAGTAACATTTCAACTTTTATGTTTAATAATTATTCATCAATGTTTAATAATCATTATTCTATGATCTCCGTTCTTTTTGTAAATTGGTACTAATAAATGCTAAGTTTTAAATTTCTCAACTCAGTTAAGGGCCATATATGATCACAGAAATTTTAAAACTTAGATTTCAAGTTATGTTAAGTTGGTTGTAAAAGGGTGATCATCAGAGGGCTTTCAGGCATAAAAATATGTCCACATTAGAGGGTAAAATTCTTTGAGGGGAGTGAAATAGAAGAAACATGATGTCAAGAAGAAAGAGCATAGCAGAATTTAAGATTGTTAAGGAGCTCAAGCATGCACTTTTAAAATGAATGGTACCAAAACCCCACTGCTGTCAAGTTAATTCCAACTCACAGCAACCCAACAGGACAGAGTAGAACTGCCCCATGGCGTTTCCAAGGCTACCATCCTTACAGAAGCAGACTGCTCCATCTTGCCCTCTCAGAACAGCTGGTGCCTTCAAACCACTGGCCTTCTCGTTAGCAGCCAAATGCTTTAACCCCAGTGCCACAGAGCTCCTTGAATGAATGTGGGTGTCAAAGTGCTATGGTATTTAGATTTCATAGGATATATTTTAAAAAGTAATAGTTTTAAATGAAAATGTAAATACAAGTTTCAAGCCTCTTTTGTATGTGTTTAAATTAATAATCGAAACTTACAAATTTCAACCTAAAATTTTATGAGAAAGTATACCTTTCACAAAATTCTTTGGCATGTAGGGCAGTAAAGACTGTCAAGATCAAGTGTAAAGAAGATATCAGGGTAGAACTAAGGCTTTCTCAGGGTACAGGAGTTCAACCACCACACATCTGACATCTACCAGAAGTGCAGATACAAGGAAAATAAAATAGCAACCCTAGAACCATGACATTCTTTACAATTACCCAATCACGCATCCCCTCAGGAATGGGAGAAACAACTGCAGATTTATTGTTTCAACTACTATCAAGTGACTATAAAGGAAAATAAAAAAAATTTAATCTGGCTGGACAGCTTTGCCAAATGTATTGCATCGCATAGCAATGTCATTATAAATGACATTTATAGAACAGTGCCCCTTCTTTTTTAAACTAGGGCCCTTGCAAGCACTGATCTACAGGTGGATGGATGGGTGGACAGGCTGATGATCAGGTATGTCTAGGCAGGGAGTAGTGTGGCCATGACCACATACAGGGTTAGCAGACAATGTTTCTACATGTGTTTTTGTATGTACCAAAAGAATGCCTGGAGGTATAGTAGCGCCAACAAGGGGCAGGGTTGTGGTAGCTTCTTGGCCACAGCCAGCTACCCATAGGGAGCGAGTGATTAGACCTCTGGGTTCAGGACCATGGTCACAGGAATCAAGCTCAATTGGCATAACACACTACACAAGAACACTGTTCTACATCCAACTTTGGTGAGTAGCGACTAGAATCTTAAAAGTCTGTAAGCAGCCATTTAGATCCAATGATGGGTATCTCCTCCTTTAGCAAAGCATGTAGAAAATCAAACATGCATGGAAACAATTAGTCCAAGGCACTGGTAGACCATGTGATCCTCAACCTATATGACCATGAGACCAGAAGAACTAGATGGTGCCTAGCTACTACTGTCAACCACTCGGTGGGGAATCATTGTAGGAGATCCTGGATAAAGTGGGTGAACAATGCAGAATGTAATTCAAAATCATTTAAAAAAAAAAAAAACTAGGTTTGCTGGTCTGACAGAGCCTGGTGAGACCCCAGAAGACTATAGCCTCTAGTCACCCTTCAGGTCTGGAACTGAACTCAGTCCTGTGGCTTCCAGCCAAATAACAGACAGGCATATGGGGTGAACAATTACATCAGGAAGATACACTCCTTGGGGTGATCAATCATAGGAGAACAGAATGGCAGCATGTGCACAGGGAGACAGCTCAGGGTATGGAAGTGCATGGGAGGGAAGGACACAGGAAGAGGTAACTATGGGGAGGAAGTGGGAGGGAAGCTGTTTGCATTGTGGGAAATTGCAGTCAATGTCATGAGACAAAATGTGTATGAACTGCTGTATAGAAAATGAATTTGCTCTGTAAACTTTCAGCCAAATCACAATAAAAATTTAAAAAAAAAACAAAAAACACCACCACCTAGGGCCTTTGGTTTTCTTTCCCTTTTACAAAGTACTACCCTCTCAGCTTACAGAGTTTGAGGAACTCAAGACCCAATGACCCATCTGGCAAATTCAGTCACTTATGGATGTGATACAAAGAGGTCTGGTGGCTCAGTGGTTAAAGAACTCAGCTGCTATCTGAAAGGCTGGAAGTTTGAATCCACCAGCTGCTCTGTGGGAGAAAGATATGGCAGCCTTCCTTGGAAACCGTATGGAATAGTTCTCCTCTGTCCTATGGGGTTGCTATGAGTTGCAATCGACTCGAAGGCAGCAGGGATGGATGGATGTTGATACATACACAGTAATCTCTACTACCAAGATTTTCCTTCTATGCCATCCTACCCAGATATAAAATATTGCAATGAAGAATAACACCCACATTTAAATAATGTTACCTTTTAATACTAAAAATATCAAATCTCCTTCAATTTGCTTTGGTAATTACTGCCAGCTGTTTAACTGAGGAAATGAAGCCATTAAAAAACTTCCAAGTATGGCAGAGTAAGGTATAGAAAGTTTACACCAAGGCCGTGAACATGCCCATTTCACTTACACATTTAGCGTCTTTGAGCTTCAGAGTACAGTAAATAGTTTTGACATCTAAAACTTGCCTAACAAATATGACTCAGGTCACTGAACACTGAAAACCTAGTAGTGTCCAATGAGAAATGATCCCACTGAGAGGCTTCTACTTTTAGAAATAATGGATTCTGCATTCCCAACTGGTCAGGTTGAATCAAACATCGAAATATGCCTGTGTCCTATTTTACAGATATCTTTTGCAATCTCAACTCAAGGGTAAAGGCATACCAGGAAATTTTCACAGTGTTTCCTTTATCTTTTCTTTAAAAGTATGCAATGGTGCAATGCCTTGTGCCCCTAAAAACAATCCATAATTCATAAAATTTCTAGCAATACCTGACTTGGACTCCAATAGGCAATGCTGACCCATCTTCGGCTGTGGCAGTTGGCAGCCCTGATTTGAGTCAATAAAACACAGTTCAGGAGCAGAGATCAACAGACACAGTAAGGGTTTTGGTGTGCATCATCTCCTGGGAGCCAAGAGTAGTGACTCTCATCAATGTGGGGTCATTTCGCACAGCATCTTTTAGACTTTAACTGAAAGTCTTTTAAGTCTGTGTTCCCTTTCTACTGAAAGCCAGTTGGACTATCCATGAACTGTAAGATGTGTCAGCCTTCCTTTGAAGGGATATACTAAATATATGAAGTGCTGTGGGCTTTTTTTTTTTAAGGGATTAATTCTTCCTTTTTTAAAAACAGGTTTCCAAGATGAACTCTAGATACCTGTAGGAACATCTTAACCAAACTAAAGACACCCAAGGGCAGCAAGCAACACTAGGAAGATGTGAAATCCCAGGCCAGGGAACTGCTGAAGTTTTGCGTATTTTAGCCCCAAGTTAGGAAGCGTTGAAACTTACCAACAACAACTCTGCCATCTTCAGGTCAGTGTTGGGCTGTAACTGATTTATTTATGAATTGCTAGAACTCATTTTTAAAAACGGGTTAAATGGCTTATAAAAGCAGGGAAAAAGTATATTTGGAGTTACTGAGACCTCCGCAAAAAGGTCTACTAAGAGTCATATATAAGCCTTTCTCTAGAAAATCAGACAGTGCAGACATGTAATACTGGGGAAAGATGCAGTTGTTCCATACAGCCTTTCATTTGAACTGAAAAGGCCCAATAAAAGAAAATGCAACATGTGTACTCTCCTTGGCACGCAGATGAGAACATTTCCAATTTTAACTGCATTTAAAACATTTTCACTCATTGCTTAGGTTGGGAATGAGGCAGTTGTAGTAGTGACCTTCAGTCTACAGATAATCACAGAAATAGGTATTAGAGTGAAAAGTCCATTTTTTTTGCATCTTGATATGCAAAAACTACAATGCTGAATAGTGTTGTCATTAATACACAGGGTGACAGTTAAAAATAAGTTCTTCTAATGCACCATGTTTACACTGAGCATATATAGCTGCTCTAAATTAGCATAACAGGATAATCCTCTGTGGATTGTTAGATGAAAAGAATTATGCCATAAAATAAAGATTTTCTATACTTTTCCTAAACAGCTCAGTCAACCAAAAGCCCCCAGACTGCATGTTGGGGACAATCAGGTCTAAGCATAGCACAATGTACTACTTTTGCTTGAAGCATGAAAGTCACAATGCAGATGCCAAGAAGAAACACTAATGCAGTTAAAGAGTTTTCTCAACCAGTGCTGCCCAGCAGGCTTTTAAAAGCACAAACACACATTCTTATACTACATGCAGGGGCAATATGACACACAGTGTTGTATTGTTAATGTCAAGCTTGCTACCATCAACTCTCTAAATAGAAACACAATTTTCTTAATCAGTTATACACACTGAAAAAGCAAACCTTTTTAAATTATACAAAAATGGTAATTATTTTACTAAAGAAACTATTTTCAATGAATTTCAGTGCTCTTGAAGAAAAGGGGGAGGTATGAAGGAGAAAGAGGGTGGGCAGGAGGCAAGGAGACAGGGAGAGAACACATTATCTGTGAGTGTTGTTTCTTTTCCCTCTAAAACCACCCAATATGGTCAACATTGTTTTTGCTTTGTTTTAAAGTGTTAGATTTAGGAAATTTTCCTCAGTGAGGAACAAATAGAAAGCAGTAAGTCTAAACGAAAGCAAATTAAATCAAGACAAGGACATCAGAAACAATTTTGGCTTTACGTTTCAGTGGAAGTCGGTCCTATATCTAACACTGCACAAGGTTTCTTGCACAATGAAAAGAGAAGCAGAAGTCCCTTACACTGCCTCGCTTTGCCAGAGAATCACCGTAGTCTGCTGGCAAAGTCCGCTTGCTGGACTTTTTCTGCTCATGTTCAACTGCATCTTCAATTATAGGCTCAAGCCTCATCTGGACAAACACCAAAGATTGGGATCAATGTCTTTTCATTATACAAAGAAAGATCTAATCCCTGCTTCATGTCTCTGCAGTCCAATCACACATATATGTATGACTAGCAGGAGCCAAAGGGAAAGAAACTGCAAAACCCCAGCAGTGACAAAACATGGATATTCTAGGTCCCAACTTAATCTCTTGACAACTTCAAAGTTTTTAAGGTCTGTTTCTGAGACCTGCTTTGGGATTTCAACATCTTCATTCAAGATCCCACCCAGGAGACCAATCTATTAAAACCCCCAAATTTATATTAAGTATTTTCCCACAAATTTGGCAAAGAACATCATGTCAATCTACCACCCAATCTTCCCCTAACCCTTTGTAGTGACACTCATCCTTTGGGACACTTCTAATATGCAAACATCTGCTTCTCTTCCGAAACCAGAATGCCACTCCACAGTACCTCTGTGAGGATTGTGGTATCGTAGGATGGCTGATACTTTTCTTTTTCATGGGCAGTTCTCTTCTCCATCTTCTCTCGGTCTGTTTTTTGTTTCCTGTCTGCTCCTTTTGGCTTAGAACAAAATAGATGATTTCATCAATTGGCTGAAAATAGCTAATAGATTCACAAGTTAAACAAGGTCTTAATTACTGAAACATGGTTTCTATCTCTTACCTTAAACACTTTGATTTGGCAGCTAGCTGAGTGCAGATGATCTGTGTATTCCCCGTTTTCGTTCTGCTTAAAGGTGTCAACCTGGATCCTAAAAGGCACCCCCTTTTCCCCTCCATGCTTCCGTGGAGTAAATTCTGTACTAATGCAGTGCACCTGGAAACAATTCATAATGAAATGGATTCAAAGTAGTTTCCACTGATTACCTTCTACTTTGTCCCTTCTTGAATGCCCTGCCACCATTATAAATTTAAGCTCCATTATGATGAACTCCCAAATATTGGGCAAATCTCTCTCATTAATTTCTCTGAATCACTGTTAATTCATGGTTTTCCTTTCAAACCCTATGTGCAAATCCAAATGAGTCTTTCTGGACTCTTGGGGATAAGCTCCATGCCCTTGCAGGGCCTCTCCTCCAACACAAGATTTGCTTCAATCAGGACTGTAACAGTCCACTGGCTCCCTACATACATCTCCCACTCCCACCCTGGACTGTATGTTGCTTTCAGATTCTGAGTCCTAAATCCTTAAGGTGTCACTACCATTCTGAACAGGCTCCCAGTCGTCTCAATCAGTTCAAACTAAATGTACCTATCATTCTAGAACTACTGTTGTTTGCCCTCCAATGACATTACCCTGGCTCCAGCCAGCCAATCATCTCAGTGTTCTTCCTATATACACTAACTTGTGATGCTTTGCTTGAGGAACTTCTGCAGTCCAGAAAACCGTCATCCTACCTGTGCCCATCTAAACGCTCTGTTAACCTTTCAACGTTCACTCAAAATCCTATGTGCAAAACTCATCTTCCACCACATCTGCCACTGGCTTCTCACCAGTATCACCAAAGATAACAGCCTCTGGCTAAATTTCGGACTGCTGCACATCTACTGATTCCATGTTAACAGTGATCTCTGCAATATGACTCTGTCCAACTGAGATTTAAGGCCAGGTCTTACGTGCTTTAATTCATTACACAACTTGTTGTCCTGTTAAACAGTATCTCAAACTAAGATAAAACATGTCTTATGATTATTACTTGAGGGACTAATATCTGATACACAACAAAAATATAAAACACTAAAAATGCTTTTATAGGAGCTCTGGTAGCATAGTGCCTAAGGTACTTGACTACTAACCAGAAAGCTGGCGGTTCAAACCCACCAGCCACTCCTCAGAAGGAAGATGGGGCAATCTACTTCCGTAGTGATACTGCCTCAGAAACCCAAGGAGGGGTTGCTATGAGTCAGGTCCGACTCCACGGCACATTAACAACAACAACAACAAAAATGTTTTACAGTTCAAGCAAACCCTAGTCTACTAGGCTGTGGGCAATTAAAGATTTTCCTTTTCTGTAGAAAGATTACCAACTCAATCATGCCACCACTTACACATCTGAACATACAGAGTATCAGAATGACTGTTCTTTTTTCTTTAAAGGTATAATGGTATGACAGTTGTATTTATAAAACGCTCATCTCTCAAAAGGTATAAACTTGAGTATTTATAAATGAAATGATGTATCTAGAATTTACTTAAAAGTATTCTAAAAACAATTTTTAAAATGCCAAACTGCTGCCTTCATCAACTTTTGAGGCCAGGTAAAGGGTACACACAGGGTTCATTATTATTATTCTCTTACTTTTACTGGGTCTGAAAATTTCAGTACTAAAATTCTTCTCAAATAACGTTACAGAATTTTAAAACCTCAAGTTTTCAGCCATATCCTTTTTTAAATCATAGCTTTAGTTCACAAAAAGTATATCGCATGAAAAGTGGAAATTTTGGTAATTGTTACTACTAGTGGTAAATATATTTGAATAATGATTTACAAATCACCGAATTCTCCAAATGTTAGTTTATAATATCACTGATTTAGTAGATTAAACCCAGTTTTACTATGTATACTAAAAAAAAGAAGACATTACAAAATAGTTTATAAATAAGCCTTAAAGGAAATTACACCTACTCTTCACTTACTGATTTACTACCTCATTATCCAACATTTTGCATTTACAACAACAGCAAAAAATCTACTATCCGACTATTTTGTGCATTAACAGTGTATGTCTGTCTGGCAATAACGAATGACAAAGTGTGAGGTGAGAGTAACGTTGGCTGTGATGGTGAAGGTTATGTGTCATCTTGGCTGGGCCATGATTCTCAGCGGTTTGGCAGTTACGTAATGATGTATTTTGGCAATATATTAATGATGTGGTCATTCTCCATTTTGCACATTATTGGTTTCTGCATTACAATCTGGTCTTTGGAATAGAATTTAACCATGTCAGTTAAGAGAGAAATAGTGGTATATCGTACATCAAGAATTCAATCTCATCCATGGTCATCTCTGTAACTAGAAAATCCAAACCTGAATGAAAGCAGAAGTGCGTTTTGCAGGGTCCCACAGAAATTCAACCGCATTTAACTGGCTTGGATTTGTCCTTGTGTCAATTATTCCCACAGACATTGGGATATCTATATTTAAAGAAAAAAAAGTTACATGAAAAATTCACCCTCACTGAATAAACTTAAAACTTACTATACTATGATCTCATAAAATTATAATGCTCCCATGCTGAACTTGTTCCATTGATGTTTCTCATGGTCAACCTCTTTAACATCATAATGCATCTATTAAGTATGACAGTTTCGCCTATCATGGTTCATATTTCCTTTTCTCAGGCATATGACAGATGATGCCAATTGAGAATTAAATGGTTTCAAACTCATAAAATATATGGCTCATAAAAATATATCTAGCACCAAAAAGCTACTTCAACTTAAGTCACACAGGTTCTGCTAATAGCAAAACTCTCTCCATACAATTACATGCATGGCCAGCACATTGGGGGTTATGGCTAAAGAGCTGCCCTCATTACTCCATGATCTTTTGATATGTACCTAAATCCAGAAGTCTGTCTCCTGGGCGGTTCCACTTCCAACCTTCAAGTTGCTGATGCTCTGTATACTGTAGCCGTCTGTCATGGAATACAACTCTTATGATACTCTACAGAACAAGTGGGGAAAATGACCACTTTTGAAGTACTCTAGCTAAAAATGCAGAAGCATTTTTGGTACTTATGCATTAACCTACGATAGAACAGTGTATATAAAAACAGTTTAAATATTTTGTAAGTGAACTTCGCTGAAGTATCTGCTGTTGGATGCTTAGATTATGGGTGCAATTATTTGCTTCAAAGAATTTTAACTCAAAAATAAAAATCACAAATGAAATGGTTACCTAAGCAGAATTATCACAAATTAATTTAATACTGTAATTTGAAAATTAAGGCTCATTCCATAAAAGTAGTGACCAAGGAATTATTAAAATAAAAAAACCAATATAGGCAGAGACAGACAAACTCAAGCCCAATGGTCAGATCAATTTTGCTAACTTAAAATAAAAGTACAACAAGTAGATTTCTTTTAAAGAGACAGTGTTTTTAACTTTTTATTGTGATTTGGGTAAAATTTTACAAACCAGGTTTTATATTCCATAGTTCATATACATTTTATTTTGGGATACTTGGCTACATTCCCTGTAGTGTAACATCTCACCTCCCACTTCCTTCCTATGTCCTTCTTGCCTATGCACTCCTGCCTCCCTATCTTTCTTCCTGTGAATGGGCAAATTCATGGATATTTCAGATATGGGGGGCAGAGGGAGGCGTTATTGCTTAATAAGCAGCAGAGTTTCTGTCTGAAACATGTTTTGGAAGTAGACAGTGGTGATGGCTGCATCAACACTGCAATGAAATACTTAAATGGTTAACATAGTAAATTTTATGGTACATGTATTTTACTACATTTTTAAAAAAAGGTATTAGGAATTGAACATACATCATTTATGGAGAAATAAGGAATGTTATGTTTCAGCAGCAGCACTCCTTCCCCCCCAAAAAAAGTCACTGGTTGTACGAGCCAACTAAAAAATAGAAAATTTGTACTCCCTATGGCGTAGTGCCTAAGGCATCTGACTGCTAACCAGAAGGCTGGCGGTTCAAACCCACCAGCCGCTCCTTGGAAGGAAGGTTGGACAATCTTCTTCTGTAGTGATACTGCCTCGGAAACCCAAGGAAGGATTGCTGAGTCAGATCCAACTCGACAGCAGTCAGTTTGATTTTTTTATCCGCAGAAAAAGAGAACTTATATGTAAAATTAACTCTCACCTATTTAACCTGCAAGTGAGGCATTAAAAGGGGTTGGTGGGGGTGTCACAGATAAATTTTATCTAAGCACTCAAATTCCCAGTGAAAGTTTTACTCTAATCCACAAACTCTAAGCCAATTCTTACTTTCCACCCCTCCTTCCCCTTCACTTCTCACAACATGGAAGTACAAACTACTATCTCATTCTGAACAGGATAAAGGGTCATCAAAATGCATTTAGATACCAAATGTGCCCTCCCATGTTTTTCTGTATATAATATACCCGTATAAATAATGTGCATATGCCTATAACACCCAAAGGAAAGTAAAGCATAAGAGGGAGGTCAGGGTGTAGGCCGCTTGCGCAAAAAAAAAAAAAAATAATTACATAACGTGCAGTCATAAAATACGGTAATTAGTGTTTCTGACTACAATACAATTTAAGATGTAATTTTCAATAGCATTCTCTGCTGTTCTTAACAGTAAATAATCGGTTATTGAAGAGAATCACTTAAAAGTAGCAATTAATTTTTTAATATCATTTAGAAGAGGCTAAGTCACTAGTTAGGGTCCACATGGGAAAGGTGAATAGGGCTCAGTTACTGCGTCAACCCAAATTCATCTTCCATACATGCACCCACATCTGCAGGGCCTTCCTAGGCATCCATCAGCACCCACTTTATACCATCTCCTTCTGGCAGAAGAGCCCCTTCAGTGATACTGTGTGGGCTGGTTTGGCCCCTGGGATGCCAACACCAGTGATTCATATTCTCCAACTGGTTGGTTGTTCTCTCAGAAGGAAATGTAGCACAGAAAACATCATGATTCTGATTATTCCCCATTAAGAACCAGATTAAATCCACATATTCAAAAATAATGATAATGAGTATAAGGATATTAGACTTAAGAGTTCTACCAAGCCCCATTCTAGACTTGCCCTCTAAGGGAACGACCAACCCCGACTGATTGGGCATAAACATGACAGACTCAAAATACAGACAGCAAATGTGGGAATGGGCAAAAAACCTCTCTCCTTCTCTCTCAAATACATTGGGAACTCTTGGAGTCAAAAGAGCGGATCTTAAGAGTTCACTTGCATTGGCAAGACAATGATTCAGATGGGACCAAGTCATCCCCATCTTTCCCTCAAAGAGAATAGAAAAACCAATACTCAACTTCCCATAGACTGGGGGCTTCCTGCCCTCAGCAGTGAGAGAACTACAAAACCACAAAGCCTCCTAGATCTCCAAGTACCAGGCAGCTGACTTTCCCAGAAAACACCAATTACTAGCTAGCACCCAAAACTGACAATGCCTGCAACCAAGCAGCCTGAGTATCCATCCTCTTCACCAAAGCTGCCTTTCCCGTGTTGCCCTCTAAAATGGCAGGTCCACAAAGAGGCAGGATCCCTCCAATGGAATGTTTCCCCATAAAGGCCACAGTAAGCCTCTCTGTGAAAGATGAAGCACCAGGAAAACTCACTGTACTCCTCACTGCTAACACTTCAGCATATGAAGTTTTGCCTTGTCCCAAATAACCCTCTTCCATAAATCTTGCCTTGTAATGCTATGGAATTTATAACAAACTCTTCTGTATGACAGGTAGAAGCCAGAAGGACACAACCTGAATGTCACCAAAGGGGGCAGGAATGAAGATATATGGTAAAAGGAAATGGTTGGCCATCCAATAGCTATGCCTCCTACATCTGGGATGAGCTCTTTCTTTCAGATACATTAAGAGGGTAAACAGATTTTTTTTTTCCTACTTGGACAAATTTTAAGAGATGAAATAAAAGGATTTTTTTCATAAGTTTTATATTAACATTCACATATTCCTCCCCAAACTACCTTGTACTTTGATACAAGATAATGTAACTTTGGTGGTGATTCTGTTGCTGCTGTTTTCCCACATTACAACTAGTATTTCTATGGTTGCTTCTTTTGTCACATTTATTTCACCCAATAACCAGTACTTCTTGAAGTGAAATCATTTTTTTAAATAAAAACTCTTGTAGCAAAACTGCTATCTTATTTAATCACTGCAATACACCTGCTGTTACTGTTGTTGCTAGGTGCCATCAAGGTGGCTCTGACTCAGTGACTCCATGTTGCTCTGAAGGAAATGTTGCCCAGCGCTGTGCCATCCTTACAATTATTGCTATGCTTGAGCCTGCTGCCACAGCCACTATGCTAATCCATCTCATTGAGGGTATTCCCTTTCTTTTGCTGACCCTCTACGTTACCAAGCATGATTTCCTTTTCCAGGGAATGGTCCCTTCTGCCAATATGACCAAAGTACAAGAGACAAAGTCTGGCCATTCTCACTTCTAAAGAGCATTCTGGCTGTATTTCTTCCAAAACAGATTTTTTCTTCTAGCAGTCCATGGTACATTTGATATTTTTCACCAACACCACAATTCAAATGCATCAATTCTTCTGCGGTCTTCCTTATTCATTGTCTAGCTCTTCTCATGTGCATTTGAGGCTATTGAAAATACCCTGTCATGAATTAAAATGAATCATCCTCACCTTTACCAATTTTCCACTAATCTCAGGCATATCTCCCATTTTCCGATTATCCAGCATCCGAATTTCATAAGACTGTCCTGTTTAAAGAAATTGTGCATTAAAAACAACCCATGTAAAGAACATCACTTTAACATAAATCTGACGTTCTCTCAGAACATCATTACATACAATGTTGATTTTTCAGAAAAGCACATTCAAGTTGATCTTTCTCCTCCCTGCAAATCATAACATTCTTTTCTTCCTCTGCTACTACAGTTTCTCTGCCAATTTATTTTCATCTGCCACTGTCCCACACTTAATTTTTATTATGCATGCATGCATATAGTACCTCCAAAGCCAATTTTAAGTAACAGCTTTATTAAGACATCATTTAGGTGCCATAAAATTCACATTCAGAGTTATACAACCATTGCCACAATCAATTTTAGAACATTTTCATCAGCCCAAAAAAACAAACCCTATACCTTTAATAGTAATGCCTATAATCTATCCCTTTCCACAGCCCAATGCAACCACTAATCTACTTTCTGTCTTCATGGGTTTTCCAGCTCTAGACTTTTCACATAAATGGAATCACACATTCTGTGGCCTTTTCTAGTTTGCTCATTAGCATGATGTTTTCAGGGTTCATCCATGTTACAGCATGTATCACAACTCCATTTTTGTTGCTGAGTAATATTCCATTGTGTGGATATAACACATTTTATTTTATCTATTTATCTGCTGGTAGGATATTTGAGCTGTTTCTACTTCTTGGCTAGTTTGAATAATAATGCTAATCAACATTTGTATACAGGTTTTTGTGTGGATCAAAGCCAATTTTTAATCCTGAAATCTTCCCCCCCTTATCCAGTGGACATCAAGGCACATTTCCCCACTGCTCAATTACAGTGTCCTTAAGAAAACACAGATAGTCACACACCAATGAATATAACTAGAGAAAATAAAAATACAGCCAAAAATTAATAATGCATTCCAAATAACTGCACTCGATCTCATAAGAATTTAGGAAATAAAAATTAACAAAATGTTTATGCTAATTATCAGATCAACAAAAAGTTTTATTGATAAAAATCAAATGGGCAAGGAAAGGGAGAAATAAGCACATCCACTGTGGGGAATATAAACTGATAAAGCCTTTCTGAAAAATCATCTGGCTGCCCCTGCCAAATTAAATGCTGGATCCTTTGACTCAGGGATTCTGATTGATCAAGACAAACAGAAACAAAAGTACAAGTGGGAGAGTATCTGCAATACACATTACATACAAAGGGTTAATCTCCCTAATACAGAAAGAGTTGCTACAAAATTACTAAAAAATGTCTAACATCCCAGAGGAAAAAATGGGCAAATGACATGAACATACACTTTGCCCCCCCCCCCAAAGAATGACAAACAGCTTTTAGACATTAAAAGATGTTAACCACCATCACAGAAATGCAAGTTAAAACCACAGCGAAATCACTTTTCACTTGTCAGATCAGCACAAATTCCTCAGTTTGAGCCCTGACAGTCAGAGGGGAGATGGTAAGAAGTATGTTCTGGATGTAAAGTGTCAGAATAAAGAAGAGTTGAGAAGTACTCTGTTATCTTTGGCCAAAGAGATGGAAAAACTGTTGCTGTTTCCTAAAATGGAGAAGATTGCAGGGAGTAGATATAGGGGAGAAAATCAGGAGTTCAACTAAACACATTAAGTTTGAGACACATATTGGACAGCAAAGTTAATGATCAAGTTGATCTATAGCTGAGAGTAAGAAAACCAGGTTGGAGATCAGGGACTTGAGGGAGCTCTGGTGGCATAGTGCCTAAGGCATCTGACTGCTAACCAGAAGGCTGGCAGTTCAAATCACCAGCCACTCCTCAGAAGGAAGACTGGACAATTTACTTCCGTAAATCTACTTCTGTAGCGATACCGCCACAGAAACCAAGGTGGGGTCGCTATCAGTCGGATTTGGCTTAATGGCGCCCGTGACCATATATAGGGCTGGCAGACCATGTCTCTACAAGTGTATTTGTATGTGCTGTAAGGGTGTACAGGAGAGCTAACAAGGGACAAGGTTGTGGTGGTTTCTTGCCAGAGCCAACTACCCTGAGAGAGTGAGTAGTTGGATCTGTGGGCTAGGGACCATGGTCACAGATGACACCAAGCTCAATCGGTATAACATACTACACAAAAACACTGTTCTACATCCAACTGTGACAAGTAGTGACTGGGGTCTTAAAAGCTTACAAGTGGTAATGTAGATGCAATGATGGGTCTCTCCTTGTCCAGAGCAAAGAAGAATGAAGAAAACCAAGTATGCATGGAAACAGTTATTCTAAGAGACTGGTAGACCATCTGATCCTCAGCCTATATGACCACAACAGCAGAACTAGGTGGTGTCTAGCTACCACTGTCAACCATTCAGAAGGGGATCTATGTAGGAGAGTGGGAGAACAATGTGGTACAGAACTCAAAATCATTAAAAAAAAAAAGACCAAGTTTACTAGTCTGATATATCCTAGTGAGACCCCTGAGACTATGGCCCCTAGTTACCCTTCAAGTCTGGAATTAAACCCACTCCTGTGTCTTCCAGCCAAACGACAGACAGGCATAAGGGGTAAATAGTTACATCAGGTAGATATACTCCTTGCAGCGTTCAATCATGGGAGAACAGAAGGCCAGTGTTTGTGCAAGAGACAGCGCAGGGAGTTGGGAGTACATGGGAGGGAAGGAGAAAGGGAAGAGGTAACTACAGGGAAGAAGTAGGAAGAGAGCTGTTATATTGTGGGGATGGAAGTCAATGTCATGAAACAAAATGTATATGAACTGCTGTATGGAAAATGAATTTTCTCTGTAAACTTTCACCCAAATCATAATAAAAATTCCAAAAAAAAAAAAAAGGACCATGGCTTGACCCAAGTAAGTGCATCTCACTCAGCAAAGTAACTCTTTGCTTTTTATTACTTTGAAGAGATCTCTATTATAGCAGATTCTCCCAATGCAGTGTCATTTGGTTTCTTGACTGCTGATCCAAGTAGAATGAAATTATTCACAACAACGAAATTGATATCATCAATCATTTTTCAAAGTGTTAGAAACCTTATAAGGTCCTAATGAAGAATTGTAATCTAGTAGCAAGAACCAAAACTAATTCAAAGGAAATCTACTACAGTGAAAATGAAATTAACAAAAACCATTTTTTTTAAAGAAGCATGTTATCATGTAACAATTTTTAATCCAGTAAGCATGTTAGCTCTAGAGATCTAAAACCTGCTTGTAAAGTAGCTAATGTCAGTTAATTAATACTTGTAGAAGAGGAATCTCCAAGTAGAATTCTGCCTCCAAAGGAACAGGTAATTTTTAGAGAAACTAGAAGAAAAGGTTCTTTTCTACTTGAAGAGTAACTCTGATCTGGCACAGCACCAATGAGCCAATCTGGAATAAATCAAGGGGTAAAATCACAAATCTCACTCACAGCATAAGGTGTGGAAACAGCAAAAACTCAGCCCCAGTTGTAAGACAAGAGGCAGCCTATTCCAGCCAGATCCCTCCTCAAAGGGAGAGCCAGCTGCGTGTCCTCTATCCTCTGGTGGTTCCATGTTATTAGCACTGCTGTTTTTCACTCTACAGCCAGAGTCAGACATTTAACTCCTATTATCCAAGAGCAGAGAAAGCTGCTCAGGCATAACTAGGCAAACACAAATACAGTTTTTAAAGTCCAGTCAAAATAACACATAAATTGACACTCTAAGGCATCAATAAAACTTATAAAACTGATTCAGTCCCCAACAATGCGCTAAGCCTCCTCTGAGGAAATCTATCTGTAAAAGGTGATAGTGAGGAGAAGCCTACATATGCTACACCTGAATATTCAAAGTAATAAAATTAAAGTAAGTCTGTGGACCAGCAGCAGCAGCAGCATCACCTGAAAACTTGTCAGAAATGCATATCCTCAGGCCCAACCCCAGACCAACTGAATTAGAAACTCTGTAAGCCTTTCAGTGATTCTGATGTGTGTCAAAGTTGTAGACTGTGACATTATGTAAAGCTACTAATCTCCAACAAAGTGTTCAGGACCCACTCCTAGGAAAATCTCTATGTCACCTTCTGCTTAATTATTTCCTAATTTTTTGAGCAGAAGGGCTTTGCAGTCCTATAACTGTGTGTGTGTGTGTGTGTGTGTGTAATATCTATACCTACATATATATTTCCTTTAGTCCTGCCCAACATCATGTACTTGTCTCCTCCACTACCCATTAGCTCATTATCACCACTAGCTCCTAGAATGGAACCCAAACACATATTCCACAACTTTTTGGAGTGAATGCTGGGATACAGTCTGGGAAGGGGGCACAAGAGAGCCTGCTTGAGTGCTAGAAATGTTGGCTGTAGTTAAGAGTTATAAAGGAATCTGTAAATGTAAAAATACATTGAGATGTGCACTTAATGACTTTCATGCACTCTATGCATGTCAATTTGGTTTTTAATAACTAAGCCTCCCAAAATGATATTGAGTAGCAAGTTAATTAACTGCTGTAAGCCTCAGTTTTTTAATCAGTAAAATAGATTAATAACACCTCTCCTAGGGCTATTATGGGAACTGAATTAAGATTATATATACAAAGTACTTAGCACAATGCATCATACATAATAAGCACTAAGTAAATGTTAGTCCAGTATCATCACTATAGATGGTGAATTACAACTTTTAGCAATATGAAATATCACCGTTTAATATTAAGAACGATAAATTATAGATACACTCCTGCCACCAAGCCAATGGACAGATCCAGGGCATTCCTTTAAACGTGTGGGCACGTATGTGTCTTTATTTCATGGTATGCAGATAACACAACTTATTCAACTATTCCCCAACTAAAGGAATTTGGGGTCATTTTTTCTGTCTAGAAATAAAGCTACCATGAATATCCCTGTCCCTACATTGTTTCTTCTGATATTTCTATATGCTTAAGACAGGTTACTTTTTAACTTCTTAAGGATCTTTACAATGAAGTTTCAACTTGTAAAGAACCTTAAGAAGTTGTGTCTCAAAAAACTGAATGCCTATGACACAAATACTAAATCAATGTTAAAAACAAAGTGAGGGCCTTGCCATAGGTGCTACATACAGACAGTAGAATTATCTGAAGTAAAATCTCAGTAAGTCACTATATACTGAACTAAGAGTTGGAAAAAAGCTATTTTTCCACATTTGTGAAAATTACCAGGAATAAACAGTATAAAATCTATAGCTCTTTCCAATCAAGTTAAAAAAACTGAAGATTCTTCTATTTAATGACAGAAAAAGGATCACAATAAATTTTTTAGTGAATAGATACAAATACAATTTTGTTTAAAGAAAAACATGTACACGGTACTATATCAAAAATGTTAACTACAGTAATCTTCATGGGATGCAACTGCAGTCCATTTTCAGCTTTATCTCTTCACATGTTTCACAATGGGCATGTGCTATTTTTATAACAAAAGTGTTCTAAAATTTAAAATATAAGAAGTCAACATTTCAATAGATGTATCCAACAAATGAATTCCTGCATATCAAAGTACTTTTGTTTACACTGGTGCGTCACATTGACTTTTGCCCAAACTGTTGAAAGCACCTAAAAAAAACCTCCTTATATTTTGCCATGGTAAACTTTACCCCTTTATCTGTTTTCCATCACTTAATTTTTATTGCCAAAACATAACATTCCAACATAAAGTACGGACAAGATATGGATAGATAAAAATTTGAAACAGTATAGTCACAAAATGCATCTTTATGTAGTTTACCTATATATTTTAAGAGCAAATATGCTTCCTCTCTGACACCAGGTTCCTTGCTAGCTGAACTTCTGATTCATTCTCAAGTTCCATCTGGAAGTCACCGGGATCCCTTTCTACTGTGAGACCATGTTTCTATATAACCACCCTGGATGTAACCATTTTTAAGTATATAGCCATTTTGCAATATGCCTTAGCATTTACGTCAAGCTTTAGTGCTTTAGTTACTGGAAAAACCACTAGGACTCCTGACTACCCCCACCACATGGATACTACCTAGCATACTCCCTAGCAACAACCAATCAGTAAATAGCGAGAAAATACCTTACCTAAAATAGAAATGGCAGTTTGCAGCTTCGGCCCCAAGACAGAGCCAATCAAGTAGGAACAACTAACAACTTGGAAAATGTCAACCAATCCTGTAATTTTCTAATTAAAATTTCCTTGTTCCTGATTGAGACCCCTATATCAACCCCATCACCCCTGAGTTTGAGACTCTCAATCCTGAACCGCTGCGTCGGTGACGGTTGAGGGTGGTGACGGTTGAGGGTTCGAGCTCGAGCTTGAATAAACAACCCCTATGCTTTTGCAGTGGAATCGGCTCCTTGGTGGTTTTTGGGGATTCAAGATCTGGGCGCAACACTACCTGCTCCCTCTTTGGATTTTTTCTGAAAAACTTATAAGGTATCTTGCTCCAGACTCTTCTTATGCAAATCAGTTTCCACGGAACTATTATTCTGTTGGCTTACAGTAAAATTCCTGTCATTTTCTTTAACTAAAGTTGTAAAATTTAAGAGAAAAACAAAACTAATTTTAAATTATCAGTAATCTGGTCTAGCATGCCAAAATCATTTACTTTGAAATTTGAAAACTCTTACATGTCAAAACACAATCTAGCTATATTTACCTTGGTTTAAGTAAGTGAGTGTTTCATCATGCAGTTTTACTGCCGGTGACGTTGCAGCACACATCACATACTGAAAGGGTGGGTGTTTAGTTTCACCATCCAATGGAAGGCTGGAATCTTCCTGCTTGAAAATGGGTAATGCCAATACATCACTGGAAAGAAAAAAAAAAAAAAAAAACACTTTGGGTTATTAGCACATAACAAAAAAAAAAAAGAGTCAATTCGGACTCAAAATGACCCCCACTGGGTTTCTGAGGTGGTAAATCTTTATGAAGTAGATTGCCTAGTCTTGCTTCCATGGAGCAGCTGGTGGGTTTGAACTACCAACCTTCTACTTAGCAGTCAGATGCTTTAGGCACTGTGCTACCAGAGCTCCTTATTAGTACATAATACCAAAAACCAAAACCAAACTCACTGCTGTCAAGTCGGATCTGACTCATAGTGACCCTTTCTTGGGTTTCTGAGGTGGTATCACTTAGGAGCTCTGGTAGCATGGTGCCTAAGGCACTTGACTGCTAACCAGAAGGCTGGCGGTTGAAACCCACCAGCCACTCCTCAGAAGGAAGGCTGGGCAATCCTACTGGAAAATCCTACTTCCGTAGTGATACTGCCTCGGAAACCCAAGGAGGGGTTGCTATGAGTCGGGGTCAACTCGACGGCACATAACAACAACAACATCACTACAGAAATAGAGTTACAGAAGTAGATTGCCCAACAGTCCGAGGAGTGGCTGGTGGGTTTGAACCACCAGCCTTCTGGTTGGCATTCAAATGCCTTAGGCACAATGCCACCAGAGCTCCCCAGTACATAATAGCATATAAAAACATTTATGGATAACTTCTTTTAAAAATTAATATCAGCATGATATGTAGAATAAAGGAACTATTAATGCTAAACTGGTTAACCCAAAAGATATTAATAACCCATATTTCTTTGGAGGGAGGGGTAGCAGGAGGCAGCAATAACTATGCAGATAAATTCAGAAGTAGTTGATAGTTATTAAAAGTCCATGCTAAAAAAAAAATAAAATTAAAAATAAAAAAAGAAGGTGGGGACCAGGTTTGCTGGTCCAATAGAGCCTGGTATAACCACTGAGACTATGGCCCCTAGCTGCCCTTCAGGTCTGGAATTGAACCCACAACTGTGGTTTCCAGCCAAACA